GAATTGTCAACATTCTCCCTGGAGAAAAGATTCTGAAGAAGGAAGTAAAAATGAAAAAGGAAGGGAAAATTAGAGAAATTAGAGTAGAGGAGAAATAAGTAAAATGGGAGCTAGGAAACAGGAACTGGAGGTTGAAGAAGTTACTTATTGGCCACATCAGGTTTCTGGGGAAAATGATGAGAGGTGGTGCCCCAGTGGGAGCAAGTGGCCCAACCCGGCTCAGGGAGACCTCAGGAGTGACGAGATCGCTGGGAAGGATTTTTGTTTGTTTAAAAAAAGTTACAAAAGCAACAAATGCACTTTAATATTTCAAACATGACAGCCACTCCACTCCTAAGGTAAGCCCCGTCAATCCTCACAGAATGGTTTTTAGTGGTGAGGATGAGGATTAGTGACCAGCAAAATCAAGTGGAAGTTTGAGATAATGACACAGAGACGTCAGACCGAAAAGCTTTATTTCAGCCTAGCATGTCTGCATTTTCCCTGAGATCATTTCACTCATCACAGCATTCGATATTTTAGAAACAAAGTAACAGGTTTTTATATGATCATACAGACCCACTGGAATGCCCTGATTCCCTAGAATGTGAACTCCTTTATAAAGCAGGGATTTTTTTTCCCCAGTCTCTGGTTATCAGAGCACAAACGCCATGACAGCAAGGATTTCTCTCTAGCCCACTCACTGCTTTATCATCAGCAACTGAGATATAACTGTTTATTGAATGAAAGAATATGCCTAGACTATGAAGACAAAAATCGCAGTAAATTCAGAGTAAAACATAAACGGTGAAAGGAAAGGAAAAAAGGAAGGGAGTGATGAAATTGGCAATATTTGCACTTCTGGCATTCATTTTTGACTCTTCTCTCCCACACTCTACAGCCAATCAATCGGCAAGTCCTGTCAAATCAACTCCTTAAATAGCTCTGCATCTCCACGGCTGCTTCCCGTTTGATGGCAAGTGTCTCCCATCTAGTCTCTGGTTTGGTCTTAACTACCTGCCTTCCATTCTGTTTTCCCATGTTTTGCCAGTGTCATATGTGAAAATGTCACACAAATTGATACGGTTCTACTGACTTTGGGAGAAAGCATAAACTCTAGAGCACGCAGAGCCCCTCCTTACCTGGGATACACACGTTCAGTCAGTCCAGCAGTAGTTAAGAATGTGGCCTGTGTGAAGACTTCAGTTTGAATGTGAGTTGTGCTACTTACAAATTATATGGCCTTGTGCCAGTCATTTGACTTCTCAGTTTCTTTATATAATAAAACAGGATAATAATCATACCAACTCACGTTTGTTGCGTGGATTAAGTGAATGAATACATGCATAGCATTTTGCTCAGTGGCTGGCACACTTTCTGTTGCCTCTTCTCATCATTTCCCAAAGGCACCATGTTGTTTCATGTCATTATACTTTTAAAAATGTTTTTTTCTTTTTAGAATGTACTCCTTCTTTGCTTGACAGCTCTCTGCTGCTCCAAGATCCATCCTAATTGCCTTTACTTCTTCACAGCCTTCTCCAGCTTCTGCAGGAAGAACAATTTCTTTCCTTGTGCTATCGCTGACTCTTACACAGGGCTTTACTAATCACTTACACTCTATGGAAACTACTTCCAGGTTACTCTGTTTCTTCCCTTGGAATGTGAGCTCCTTGAGAGCAAGCACTGGCATTTACTTATTTGTATTTCCAGCATCTTACACACTCTCTGATACACATTAAAAACATAACTCTGTCTCTAGTCAGCTCTCTGGCTTCTTTGGCATTGGCTTTTTCACTTACTAGGTGTGTGACCTAGATTTAACTTTTTAAATCTCAGTTGCACTTTCTGTGCAAAGGAGATAATAATAGTATCTACCTAACATGTAGGATTGTTGTGAAGAAAAATGAGATAATCTATACAGGAAGTATTTTAATAAATATTAACTATTATTATCATTATTTTCATTTCTGATATTGTATTTTATATGTCTAGAAATTCTATTTGGACCTTTCTAATATCTTCCATTTATCTCTTAATCATATTCATGTTTTCCTTTACATACTTGAGCATATTTTTATGACTTAAAATAACTGTTTAAAGGTACTTGTTAGCTAATTCCCTCATCTGTCATTTCTGAGTCTGTGTTGCTATTGATTGATTTTCTTTCTGGTTATAGGTCATATCTTCTTGCTTCCTCTAGTTTTTAATTGGATGCCAGACTTCATGAATTTTATGTTGTTGAGTGCTGGATTTTGTTGAATTCCTTTATGGAGTTTTGAATTTTGTTCTGGTATGCAGTAATTTGCAGCTCAGTCTAATGCTTAAGCTGCTGAGGGCTCTATCCAATGCCCTGTGTATTTTGAGATTTCTCCACTCCAGCTGGAAGAAGTGTGAACTAGTCCTGTGCATACTCCAGGAATTGTTTGGCCTACTATTTTCTGGTGGTTCTTTTTCCAACCCACACATGTGCAGGGTTTGTAGCCAAAGACTCAAATACCTCTTTGCAGCTCTCCGAAGCTAACTGAGCAACACCCTCCTCTCTGGTACTTAGCCCTGTAGATTCTGGCCACCTTGGCTTCCTGAACCCCCGCCTTTGCCTCCTCAACTCAGTAAGACCTCCAGGCTCTTTGATGATCTCCCTGTCACTAGGCAACTACCTCCCAGGGACCACAGCTCCACGTTGCTTGTTGGCCAATGTCTGAAACAGTCGTTTCAGATACTTTGTCAATTTTCTAGTTTTTGCTAGCATGACAATTCCCTTGGTAGGTACTTCTTCATGGACAGGAGAAATACCCATCATTTTATTAAATGAAATGTATATGTTCACTGGTAAAATCACAAAGCTCAAAACTAAATTCTCACAAACTGTGAAAATAAACTGTGGACAAAAGCTCTTTTGAGCCAGTATCCCCAAATAGAAGTAAAGATTTACAAGGAAATTTTAATCTTTGCCAGACTCGGAAAATTTAGATTAATCTTTCTGTTTTGAAAGAAATACCAAACCGAGAAGGTGAATTTTAAAGACTTATTACATTTGAATAGATCTTTTTGCTTCCAAGAGTCTAAAGTTGTCTAGATAGCAAGAGGTTCATTATAGTCTTCATGAGGTTATTTGAAATTCAGAAATAGGGAAATCAGCATCATTCAATACTCAGTCATGCAGAAATGACATTGCATCTCTGTACTTGCTAAAAACTGGGATAAATATTTCTTGCCAGAAGGGATCAGGTCCTTAGTTTTCTACAGGTGGCTTCACTTTTAGATACGTTATGCTGGAACTCTACTCTTCTTTTGCTAACTCCCAAAAGGGTTAGTTTCCTCTTGGTAGTGCTAAAATGTGTATATGATGTTCTAAGGAAGTTATCTGCAGAAGAACAATAATAGCAGCTGCACTGAGGAGGAGCTTGGTACTTGGCATTCTAATTGAAAAAATGGGACTCAATAAATGGTTTCCTTTGGAATCTTGCCTCTGAGTGGTTTTGCTCATTCTGGATTAAAATTGGGGACTGACACATTCTGGGACTGAAAGATGTTCTAAAGTTTCCTGGAAAAATGGAGAATATATTTACAACTATTTAACCAAAGATTTGAGGATCACCTAGACAGAAATGTTGCATTTGGTCTTTAAGAAATCAGAGACAGATTAAGAAGCATGACAGTAAGTATCCAGCATAAAATCTAGCTCTTGTTCGTGGCACAGGAGAAACAGGGAGAACTTGTAGCTGCTTCCTCTAAGCAGCTGGGTGAATCATTGGCAGCTGCCATAAGAAAGATAAAGAAAACCACATCTGCTTAGAGTCCACTGCTATATGGATTCCTTGTGATAGTAAATATATTATTGAAGAGACCCCACTTTGAAATCAGGAAGATAATTAAGGATATCTGAAGACTGTTTCCCATAGTTATCCCCATGGCTATTTCACAGAAACCAGCTCAAGCAATATGAACCATTCTTCAATATACTGAGTATTCAATAAATAATTGCTGATTAAGGGGCAGAGAAAGGATTAGGAAAGACAGGTTCTGCTGAACCAGTACAAAATTGACCTATGCACTCACTGTTTCCAACTTTGTTCATGCAGAGACCAATGAGATAGTTTCACTGACCTAGTTCACTTAAAACTGAGTTCACACTGATTTTCGCCTACTAGTCATACATTTTGTAAAGAAGATGATGCTGTTCTCAGTACAGTAAGTACTTACTGCACAATAGTATAATCAAGATTGATGATCTCTAGAGTTACATGTCAATAGTAGAAATAGCATATTAGCATATTAGTAAATCTGGGTTCTATTTCCAACCTTGCTACTAATCCACTGTGCAATCCTTCTGCAAGTTACATAACTTCGTTATTTATAGAATGGGTGCAATAATACCTGCCTTATCTATTTCATCTATTTCTTAGGATAGTGAAATGATCTAATAAGAAAGTAGGTAGAAGGAGTTACAGCAAAAAGGTTTCAGTAGTAGCAGTAGAATCAATTAGAGCAGGGGAGGGGATCTCGTAAATTCAATGAAAGCAGGGAGCGTATCTGTTCAATTACTATAACCCCAGCGTCAGACACAGAGTAAGTATACCAGAAATATGTGTTGAATGAATGAGGAAATAGGGGTATTTCAGCTTTCACTTTGCCAAAATAAAGTCTCAATAAAGACATTTTTGATCAGTGTTTTTCTTAATATTATCCTTGGATTATAATAATAAATTGATGAATTAACAATATGCAAACTGAATTTAGTTTCATTTGTTATAAAATGGGAATTATAGTATCTACCACAAAGAGATGTGAAGATTAAATGAATTACTGCAGCTAATGTGCTCAGAGATACACTTGGGTCTTAAGTGATGGCGATGGTGACAGTGATAGTGCTGGTAGTATCTCTGACACAAGACAGATCCTTAAAAATAAGGTGCTCCTAGAGCCTTGAGTAGCATGCATTCAGACAGTAGTTACAGGAGCAAAACAAAGAAATTTGCAAGGAATAAACGAAGGCAAGAACAGAATTTGGGAAGACTTACCACCATTTTTGCCCACGGTGCGGAAGCATCTCCAGAAGGCCCGTAAGAATGATGCTCTGTTGTGAGGGGTGGCTTGGATGAAGCTGAATTCCCGAAACAGAATGTGAGTTCCCTGACATACACTGTTAAAACTGCAAAGAGAAAAGTCAAGAGATCGTCATTAAGAAGTTACAGAAGGCTGGAAATAGAATGAAGAATCAAAAATATATAGAACCACTGCCCAAAAGAAGGAAAATTGTTTTTTCTCCAAGAAAACTCTCAACTATAGATTAGACCATGTCCTTCTATGAGGAAGTCTCTTTGCATAACCATATTCCTTTGAAAACTTGGGAGTCCAGTACCTCTGAGGGCTTCCCACCTCCCACATAAATATACTGAGGAAGTTTTAATCAGTCACTAGAGCATCTCATATAGAGGGATATCTTTCAGTCTTTAGCTGGATGACACTGGCACTTACCTTTCTGGAGACTACTTCTCCCCCTACCCCATTTGGAATCATGTTTCCTTAATTATATTCTTTTTTTGTATTTTCTCTGACCTATATCAGATGGCTTAAAGAACAACATGGCTTATGGGGACTTAATTGGATTGTCTGTCCCAGTTTGGGGGAAGTATTGTATACCTCTCTGACAGTAACCTTAGAGGAAAATCCATGTGCCAAAGGATATAAAAGGTTCCAGACAGACACTAAAGGCAAATAAGAAAAATGAGAGTAGACAGTGGTCCCTGAATGAGAGTATGAAGCAAAGCCCGAGGGTCCAAGTGAGTCATTGTTTAAGCTGGGCCAGGGAAGGGGAAAAAGTCTACTCCATTGCCTTTGGGTGCTTCTGCCAAAGAAATAAAGGCTGAAGAGCCTGGCGTAACCTAAAAATGGAAAATCCACCGAAGAATAGGCAATTATCCAGTAATCATCACCACCAAAGGCAGATTTCTGGTTCCAGAAAACTCCTAAAGTCCCTGACAAGCAAATCATGAGTGGAAAATATGTTAATCTTTGTAGAGAAGCAGACATTAAACTGAAGATGTCAAGCAATAGAGGGATAGTGGTAATTCCAAATGCCATTTTTCATTTGTTTACCATTTAGAGGGAAAAATTCTGAATCTCTGAAATAAATACAAAAAAATTTAAGATGGCATCTAATCCGTTTTCCTTTTCCCTGACCAAGTTCAGAGGGAAGTGTCTAGCTGTCTTTAACATAGAGTATATTATCACTTAGGATAAAATTAGCCTCTTCCTGTTACTATTAACAAGGCCGGATGAAAAAGCAAATTATATACCTTTCTCCCCCCATGGAAAACTAGCACAGAAATCCACTTCTAAGATACTGTGAGGAAGTATGAGGACAACATCTGGCAAAGAGTTAGGTCAAAAGAGAGATTTTTTTAAAAAGGGTTAACCTAATCATGCAATTTGCAATGCTGTTGTCTTAAAGAAAATGAAAAATAAAGCAAATGGCCTGTTACAGGTAAATGGAGTAGGTCACATTTCTAGCAAATGAAGTCTAAAATGATACCATTCTAGCCTAAATTTATGAAGCAACCCGGCAAAGAATTAGTCCCAAAGTGTGCTTCATACCCTCAAGGGAAAAAAGCTGATGTCTAGGTCACAGTCTAGGCTATAAAGGAACTAATACCGGTGAAATTATATCTTTAGTGTAGCTTTGAAAGAATATCTTTTTTTAAACTGGAGAATGATTTATGCATCAAAGAATTGAGCTGAGCTTTATCGTACAGATAAGTAAGAATATAAACAAGAATTTATAAAATAGGAATTTTATACAACAGATAGGCATATAATACTGAATACAAAAAGATTTATAATTGTATTTACACTACTGCCTTTAGATAATTCATACCAATGAAATTCACATTTAATTAAAAATAAAAATAATTAGAAATGTTTGATTAGGGTGGCAGCTGATCAGTATGGAGATCATAATCACTAAGCCAGAAAGAGAAAGAAAAATACCACGAGATCGCTCTTACGTGGAATCTAAAAAAAAAAAAAAAAAAAGAACATAAATACAAAACAGAAACAGACTCATAGACATAGAATACAAACTTGTGGTTGCCAAGGGGGCAGGGAATGGGAAGGGACAGAATGGGATTTCAAAATTTGTAGATACTGACAGGCATATGTATTATAGATAAACAAGATTATACTGTATAGCACAGGGAAATATATACAAGATCTTGTAGTAGCTCACAGCAAAAAAAAAAGTGACAATGAATATATGTATGTTTATGTATAACTGAAAAATTGTGCTCTACACTGGAATGGACACAACATTGTAAAATGACTATAACTCAATAAAAAATGTTTTAAAAAAGTTAATAGATGATCTTTTTTAAAACAATTAAAGTATAGTCAGTTTCAATGTGTCAATTTTTGGTGTACAACATAATGTTTCAGCAGACGATCTTAATATAATTAGTGAAATTCTTTTACATATGATAGCTGTAAAGAAAAAGCAGAAAACACGATGTTGCTCAAAGCTGTACTACTTCTCTTCACTCTGAAATATCTTTTTCCTCCCTCCATCTCGTAAAATTCTATCCAGTCTTTTAGGACCATCTCAAATACCAAGTTTTGTATGCAGTCTTTTCCTGATTCCACCTGCCATGGCTAATTCCCATCATACCTCAGTTATAACTCTCTAACGGTACTCACAATTTGCTGCCTTGTTTTAAAGTTACTGGGATCATTTTCTCTACTGGACTCTATACAGTAAGCAATTAGATTGTACTTGTCTTTGCCTCTGTTACCTAACTCATAGTAGATATTGCTCCATAAATGTGTGTGGTAGTTGATTTAGAAAGATAAAAAAAAAATAAGTAAAGCCACGTAGAAAGTACCAGAATTTGTATTCACAGTTAGCCATACTAGTGATATGAAAGTCTATGTATTTTACCATCTTTTTAAAAGTCCAGGACTGTGGTCTGATACTAGTATTGTAATACGGCAAAACCAGCTTTTTTTGATTAGTATTTGCCTGACGTAACTTTTTCTATGCTTTTAATTTCAATCTTTTTGGATAATTTTGTTTTAATATTTCTCTTGAGTAGTACATAGCTGGATTTTGTTTTTTACCCAATCTTAACGTTCTCTGTATTTTAGTGAGTGAGTTTGTTTTTTATTTGTTTTTTATTGAAGTATAGTCAGTTTACAATGTTGTATCAATTTCTGCCATACAACACAATAATTCTGTCATACAGTTACATACATATATTCGTTTTCATATTCTTTTTCATTATAGGTTACTACAAGATATTGAATATAGTTCCCTGTGTTATACAATATAAACTTGTTGTTTATCTATTTTATATATAGTAGTTAATATCTGCAAATCCCAACTCCCAATTTATCACGAGTAAGTTTTTAATACATTTAATTAATTTCTGCCATCTTATTTTGTGTTTTCTGTGACTGTTCTTCTTTGACTTTTTTCCCTTTTCCTACTTTTCAGTGTGCTAATAAAGTTTTAAAAAAGCATTCTGCCCCCCTCCCCCATTAGTTTGGAAGCTATGACAGAATCTGTAATCTTCTGGTATTTCTCTTAAATTTAACATACATATTTAGCTACACATTTTTTTAAATGTCAAATTGCACATTATATTTATTACTCTCCAAACCAAGGAACAACATTCACTTTAAATAACTTATTAGCACTCTTCTCATCTTCTGATATTATTTTCTAAAATTTGAATTCTACCTTTCTTTAAATTGAAAAACTTTTTTATTGTGGTAAGATATATATATAACATATTTATCATTTTAACCATTCACAATATTTATCATTTTAATGATTATAAGTATACAATTCAGTGGCATTAAACATATTCACAATCCTATGTGATAATCGTCACTACCAATACCCGAAACTTTTTCATCATCCCCAACAAAAACTCTGTATCCATTTCAAAATGACTCCCTCTTCTACCCTCCTCCCAGACTCTAGTAACTTCTATTCTATTTCTGTCTCTTTGAATTTGCCTATTCTAGGTACCTCATTTAAGTGCAATAATACAATATTTGTCCTCCTGTTTCTGGTATTTCACTAAGTATGTTTTCAAGGTCCATCTATGTTGTGACATACACCAAATTTCATTCCATTTTAAGGCTGAATAGTATTCCATTGTATGTATATACCATGTTTATCCATTCATTTGTCAATGGACACTTGGGTCATTTCTACCTTTTGACTGTTGTGAAAAATGTGGCCATGAACTTTGGTGTTCAAGCATCTGCTCAAGTCTCTCTTTTCGTTTCTTTTGGATATATGTCAAGGAGCAGAATTGCAATTTCAAAGAGTTCTATGGGCATCCTCATCTTGCTCCACATTTTAGTGGGCAGGCTTTCAGCTTTTCACTCTTGAGTATCATGCTGGCTGTGGGTTTGTCATAAATAGCTTTATTATGTTGAGATATGTTCCCTCTATACCCATTTTGGTAAGAGTGTTTATCATGAATAGATGTTGAATTTTATCAAATTTTTTTCTGCATCTATTGAGATGATCATGTGATTTTTGTCTCTTCTTCTGTTGATGTAGTGTTTCACATTGATTGATTTGCATATGTTGAATCATCCTTGTGACCCTGTGATGAATCCAACTTGATTATGGTGTATGATCTTTTTTACGTGTCATTGTATTAAGTTTGCTAATATTTTATTGATAATTTTTGCATCTATTTTCATCAAAGATATTGGCCTGTAATTTTCTTTTCTGGTAGTGTCTTTGTCTGGTTTTGGTATCAGGGTGATGGTGACTTCAAAGAATGAGTTTGGGAGTGTTCCTTCTTCTTCAGTCTTTTGGAAGAGTTTGAGAAGGACTGGTATAACATCCTCATATGTTTGGTAGAATTCTCCAATGAAGCCATCTGATTGTGGACTCTTGTTTGCAGGGAGTTTTAAAATTACAGATTCTATTTCACTTCTAGTGATCAGTCTGTTCAAATTACCTTTTTCTTCTTGATTTGGTTTTGGTGGACTGTATGTTTTTAACTACTTGTCCATTTCTTATAGGCTGTCCAATTTGTTGGCATATAATTGTTCACAGTATTCACTTTTAGTTTTTGTATATCTGTGGTATTGGTTTTTATTTCTCCTCTTTCATTTCTTATTTTGTTTATT